TAAAAACAATAAAATAGAAAATGTCTTTAGAGGCGGTTTTCACTGTTAATAAAAGATATGCAACGTAGTTTTTTTGTTTCTAAAGTTCACAAAGGAAATAATGGGAAATACAAAACAAAGTGAATACAGAAAACCTTTTCGTAATTCTCAAACCAAATAACCTTAATAATTTAATAGAAAATATCATATTTCCATGTACTAGAGTTAGAGGGCGCAGGCAGGGGAATTTCATTGACAATATCATGTCTGACAATTTGAGTGATTTATATACAGAAACTACATAATTTAAACAATAAATGGATAGTCATCCTCATTAGAATTTTGCTTCTAGAACTTATTACAGACAAAGATACTTACATTAGTATTAGAATCTTGTGATTTCCGATTCCCTGGACGCAACATTTTCGCAATTTGTGAAGCTGCAGTCCTTGTCTTATTCTTGTTTTTCCTGGTGCGCCTAAGATTTTGATTGTAAAACAAGTATGGTCGGCCATAAATATTTGGTCTTGTCTTTATCCTATCACTTGTGCGCACCTGTCTCAAATCAGGGCCATCTTGGCCTGACCGTTTTGGATACATGAATCGACACTAAATTTTGCAAATAAATAAAATCACACGATCAACATATCTCAGCGGGCAACACCTGCAGAAATCAGCAGAATCTAACCCACTTAAATTTTTTCAAAGGGACAGAGGCAACACAAAATTAACCAAAACCACCAAGTTAAGGGTATCACACATCTCACACAGTCATCATATGTACAAAGAAAACCAAAATATAAGTTGTTTTGAACATTTTGAATAAAGCACATTGATCATGACATAAACACGTAACTAAAAATTAAACTACTTCACCATAGGTTCATATTAAACCTTTTCCCCACTTAGATGCATAAAAATTTAAATACTAGTCCAAGAAACATAACATTTGCATTGTTATGAAACTTTGAGAAATGTATGTCTAAGATGATTTAAGTGAAAAAAAACTACATAAACATGAAATTAAAAAGTTCAATTTGATTTTTTACATTAGTACACAAGGAACAGAAAAGCTGCAATGAAAACCACAACTATCATCCTCAAATTGAGATGCAACATTCAACATGCCTGCAAGCGTCAATCTCCAACATCCAATCCTCAAGCTAACCTCAACAAAACCGCATTTATCATTCAAAAGACAAAGTAAGCTTAAAAAACATAAAAAAAAAAAAAAGGAAAAGCATGGCATAGATGCACGAAGAGTGTAACAAACAATAAGGAACTATAGAATCCTAAATCCATGGAAAAAACAGAAACAAAAAAGCTAATCAGTGAAGTTAAGTGTAAAGAGGGGAGAGACGCGAGTGTTGTGAGGATTGGACACGGAAGAATATTATGAAGGAAAAATCGAGAGCGAACCTGATCACAGAGAATAAATGTACAAGGTTAGGGTTCGGGCGAAGGTTGCAGAAGGAAAGATGAGACGCATCACTTTGAGTTTCAGAGTCCAAAACCCTTTCTGTTCTTCCCTTCTCTTTCTCTTTGTGTGTATTTTTTCTCCTCTCCCCATTCACACTTAGCTCCAAACCAAACACCAAATATTTGTCTACTGTGAAATCGGATCTGGGTTGATCCGCTCCGCATGACCCGTCCAATAAAACATGTTAGAATTGATAATTGGGCCCGGAACCCAACAAGAAAACCCAAACATATTTTTACGGGGACTAAATTTGTTTTCAAAAAATAAAAATAATTTAATTATGATTAAATTAGTGATGATTTTAGTACTAATCTTATATAACCAAAAAGGTAATTTTTGAGAAAATATTCTTTTGTACAATATAGGATAAAATACACTAATTTGATAATTCATTCATTAGTTAAGAATTCTATTTTTTTAATTGAAGATAATACTGTTAAAGTTATTCTTAATTACATCCATTATATCATTTAAATAGAAAAAATTAATTGTTTTGAAAAAAACTCTTGTATTTTCTTATCATTAGAATATTTTTAAAAATAAATTAAAATTAATTAATAATTTCTTCTTCTGATGAATTAGGGTCATTGAATTCACTAATTATTACAAAGGTAACATTCTGAACTTATGATTAAAGACTTATGTTTAAATTTTACTTATCAAATTTTGTTACAACTTTTCAAAATAATTAATTTTCTGTTTCTTTTTCAGAGTTTTACATCTGTGAATAAAAGGTAAAAATAAAATGTGTGAAGAAAGTTAACATTTTAGACACCAAATATTAGATTTTCAAAATGAAAATCAGTATTTTATTTTGTGCACGAGAGAGTAAAGATTTTTTATAAAAAATTATTGCGAAAAAAGGCATGTATTAATATTTTAAGTTTAATGATATTTCAAAAATGTAAATATTTTTATTATAAAAATTACTGTGAAATAATAATAATAATAATAATAATAAATAAAATATTTAATAAAAATAAATATATTTATTTTGTAATTATTTCATATAAACAATTTTCTTTTAACTTGGTCAAATCCAAACAAAACATAAAAACTAAAACATTACTTTAGATTATAATAAGAAGTTTTGTGAAGTATTTTTTTAATAAAATAAATATTGCTTAAAAAATATCAAACTTTACTATTGCACCTATGGTTTTATTAACTCAACCTATTAAACCTAATTTGATATATTTTATAATATATTTTTATTATAAAATAATATATATATATATATATATATTAATTATTAAAAAAATAATGCAATAAATAAAAAAAGTTGTGACCATTTTACCTTTTTTTGAAAAAAAAAAGCTTTATAGTTACATATTTAATATAAAAAAATTATTCAAAATCAAGATTAGAAGTAATATAGTTACTTTAGTTTTTTAACATACATTTTATCATCATAAAATAAATAAAAGTAAAAATATCTTAAAAAAATATTTCCACTTTATATATTATTATAATTGATGAAAATAAATAAAGAACTATACGTGACTAACATCATTGATAACAAAAATTAGTAGTCTATTTTCTTATCTTAAATTTTTTTTAGCCCTATACAAATTATTCGATTTAATGGTAATTTTTATTATTAAATTTGTATAGGTTTGTAAAATTTATAATTTCATGAATTTAATTATTTTTCATTATATATATATTTTCATGACTTTTCAATTTATCAATTATTTGATGATGTAATTTATGTGAGTGACTTTTAATTAAAGATTGAATATGTATTTTTTTTAAATCATCATTATTTTATTTTTCAAGTATTATTATTAAACTTTAAGTTTTGTAAATTTTAGCACTACTTTTTTTTTCACAAATTTACTTCACAAATTTATTATTTAAATTTCAAGATCTATTATCGATATATGAATAAGATGTTAATTTATGTGATGTGACCTATGACAACAGTATTGTTTTATGATATTATGTAGATTTTAGGTAAAATAACTAAAATATTTATTTGGCTGGTAAAAAGTAAATAAATAAATATTTAGCTTAGCGTTAGACCAAATAATATTACTAAAATCATTTTTATGTTTTTAAGAATCTCCAAAAGTATTTTCATAAAATTTACTTTTATAGATTATTTATTTTTCATGAAATGTCTAATGAATTAACTGTTAAATCAATTTTTCACAAAATAAATGCAATTTATAATTTTGTAATTTTATATCGAAATTAACATGTATTAGATTAAAAATAATTTAATTATATTCTTTAATAAAAAATAGTATAAAAAGTTTAATAATTTAATATTTTTTAATAAAAAAATGACAAAAGGATAAATTGGTTATGTCATATCATCTATCTTCATATAATATTGAAAAATTCTCATGATCATAATTAACTATCTATGTTATATTTATTAATTAAAAACATCGATTAAATCTCTCTCTCTCTCTCTCTCTCTCTCTCTCTCTCTCTCTATATATATATATATATATATATATATATATAATTAAGATTTAAAATTAGTTCCTAAAATACGATTTAGATAAATCAAACAAGTAATTTAATATTTAAGAATAGGTACATAATCAATTTCAATAAATACATCTTAAAATATTTTCACTTAATTTATTAATCGCATTATCACACATTAACTTTTTCACCTTATTATAAATCAATTGTAAACATTCAATTGGGAAAAACGTTTATTACTTCGAAATCCATACAAAAAAATTTGCAAAATTATAATCTCGGAGAAAAAAATTCATAAAATTAAAAGTTCATTAGTAAAATTTTTAAAATATTTTTTTTAACAATAAAACAGCAATAGTGCAAAAGAACTATGTAATAAAATATGTAAATTAAAATATAATAAATATTTTACCGTTAAACTCAACACATTAGCACACCATTAACAATTTGACATTCAATAAATAAATAAAAAATATATAATTTTAAAATTGGAATAGTAAATTTGGTGATAATTAAAATTCAGTGGTAAAATCTGCAAAAATATAGAAGTTTATTAGTACAATATACAATTACACCAAAACATTATCATAATAAAAGCAAAATAAACTGACCCAAAATTTCCTCATTTTGAAGGGATCAGCTAAGTGAGCTTTTAAACATAATTATATTAAAATATTATTCCTTAAAGGGAGCCCCTAGAATTTGATAATCAATCATTCATGATAAATAAGCCCCTTAACAGATAAAATGGTAAATACAGTGTTGATAGAACAAAATAAACCCCTTAAAATATTGACAATTGTTGTGAAAAATTACCAACAAAATCATACTTTTGCTGGAAGAAACATGGTCTTTCCCAGACAAAAAATAAATGAGAAAGACATACACTGTGGCACTATGGAGCACATTTTACTCATTTAGGCACGTAGTTGGAAGGCAGCTAAAGAAATAACCAATTTATCACCTAAAAAGAATGAAAAAAATTGAAGAAATGAATGGGGAAGAGACAATTAAACAACATTAAAAGAGGGAAGGTCAGAGTAGAATGTCCATCTCTGTATAAAAAGTTAAAATACACATCTAATATGGCAATCTTGTACCATTAGCATCCAGCAGCTTTCAAGAATTTATCGAAGGGGCTTGCAGGCGGTAATTTCAAAGAATGTTGCTGTCCAAAGTCATATGAACAAAGGCGAACTTGATACTGTGTTTGAAATTGCTCCTGACTCACCAACTTCAGATCACCTTCTGAATACTCCAATGTCTACAAAATGACAAAGTAACAAATAATAATCCTTTCACAGTTAACAAAAAAACTCTCTCTCTAATCTGAACTTTGGAAGAAATATTATTCTTTAACTATACATTTTTATTTTGCTGGAAAAAAGAAACTTTAGCTATAAAAAGAATACTAACCTTAATTGGCAAAGGGTTTTCACTTGAAAGAACTATTGCCCTAGACCCCTGCTGGTGCTTGAAACTCTGAAGAACCGACATCTTCTTTTGTTTCCCTGTTACAAGTGCCTCACACTGGTTCTTCATTTGGTCATAAGGCACAGGAGTTGATGCAGTGGGGAAACTTGCCACTTGTCGTGCAGTTTCCAATACCTATCCATACATCATTGATTTAAAACAAAATCACATAGCCAAGCAGCCTGAACTAAATATAAAATCATATTCTTTAACAGAAGAAACCCAGCCTCGATTCTCCAGCTGAAGCATACAAGATTGATTTAAAATACAATCACATTGCCAAACAGCTAAAACTATATATAAAAGCATATCATATTGTACCGATTGTAAGAGTTGATTAACACTTAGAATGTCTGGACTATTGCTAGATAGTGATGATTTACGATCTGATTGACTTCCGCTCAGTTGGGGCCGGGTCTCTTCATCTATCAAAGCTACCGGAGCCACGATCTAGAAACAACGCATCAAAGTAACAAGACAGAAAAAACTTCTAGAGCCACTTAAATGAAAATGCAATTTTGAGGAATTTCACCTCATCAAAATCTGGGAACTCAATCTGAGCAAGTGGAGAAGACTGCCCAGGTGTCTCCATAAACAATGGAGGTCCCAGTGGATACGCATCATCAGGGGAAAACCCCTGCACAAGTTGCTTCTTTATGGCTGGCAATTCGTCCTGGTTAATATGGAAAAGTCATGTTATTTACACTAACCCACTACTCACGTATTTTGTTGGCATTCTGCAAACCTAATATAATATTTGCAAGTACCTTTTCTCCATAAGAAAAAGATTGGTTTAAAAGATAGTTTGTAGAACAAATGCATGTGCATGAACCACTGGTACACGTACAGAGTATAATTTCAAATATAGAAACTTGAATCAAACATAATTAATCAGCCACTTAAAGTACAGTGATAATGACATCAATTCCACCAAATAAGTAATTCAACCATCTCATATTCAGTAAAAAGCTTGACACATGTTATTTTCGCCATGTAAACCAACAACCATGACTTGATTTTTACTGATTCATAGCTTAACCAATAGAAAACTGAAATACAGTACTCCTCACCCTGGCTACTTTCCCAACCTTGAATCTAAGCAATAGAAAGAAACTCATATTACCTCTGATAATTTTGAAAATTTAGTCAGGAAGCATGATATTACAGTCTCTTTCAATTCGTTATCATCCAATTTCACTGCTGACAGTGTCTTCATAGCTGAAACATCATCTTCCTGGGATCCATAAATTAAATTCTCTGATTCTAAATAGACAGCATGTAGCCTGACATCATCGACCAACTTAAGAAAAGGATCTACCTGTGGGTTTATATTACTAACTTATTAAAAAACAAACAAATAATAAAATTCAATATTTAAAAGCAAGCTGAATAATGAGATCATGCGATGGGGAACAAGATAAGAGATTCTGGAAGAAACTAACAGTTGTCTTCGTCAGGGATGCTTTAACTTTTGGAATTAACTCAGGGAAATTCCCTGCCCTGGCTGAGAATATAAGCATGTATGATGCCAAAGTGAAAAGAGACCTCCGGCGAGATGGTTGTAAACCTCCTTTAACAGGCATGCAGGCAACAAGCATGTCAGAAAATTTGCAACATAAAACATTTATTTCAATTAGATTCAGTTATAACAGTAATAAATCATAGCATGCAAAGCTAAACACAAGTATAAAATTAGGGATTCTTCAAAATCATGTATGTGGATTTGTACTACTTTTCTAAAGTATAAACAAAGTAAACAGAAGTTATCCAGAGGCTATAAACTAAGCGCCTGAATCAGTGGAAACGAGAGAACATTCACAACAACACATTTGATAGGTTCGGTAAAGTGTATAGAAGAAGGAAAGGAGAGGTAGTTGAGAGAGCTATCAAAGTTATAACAATATAAGAACTATTATAAATAGTTCCATGAGAGTTAGTTAAAGGGGTATTAAAAAAAAAAAAAAAAAGAATTTGGGTGGGCTTGGAGAGTGAGGTCCTCTCAAATAACCTCAAGTTGTAACTGTGCAGCAGAATTATCTGTTTTCCTTAATTCTAGTTCTTTACCACATCGGTACCGGGTTGGGTTTAATGTTAGCAGTAATATTCAAAGATTGTTTGTTTTATATATACGGGTAAATAATCCACAGCAATGCTTGCGCTGGAAAACCATGAATAGGCAATAAACTATTTACGAAAATGTTTATGTTGGATATAAACTGAACCCTAGAATAAGCTCCTTTAGTTGTACTCGTTGGTAAAATTATCACATCCCACAATTACCTTTCCTTCTTTTCCGTTTTAGCTACGGGTTAGCATGTATATAACTCCCCTATTACTGTATTATTTGATATTGGAATAAAAAACAATTTTTTAAAATTCTCATACTAATCACTATTAGGATAAATAACAAAAACAATAACCTTATCTCAGTAGGTGAGACCAGTTACGTGGATCACACAACACCACTGACTTGATTAAAAACTAAATTCTCAGGGATATTATTGAACATGAAATCCTTTGAAATAAATTTCTCCAATGTCCTTCTTAGTCTCTCTACCCTTTTTCACAGGGTTTAAATGCATCAATTGGTTTCCCTTTTTGGTTATGAGATAATTAGGCCATGCTTGAATACAATTTTTAGGAACACGAACTACTCATAAACCTTAAACTAGGTCTTATAGTTTGGGCCTAAGATCTAAATCAACCTAAAAAATCGGCTTAGGGGTGGTTGCAATTAGACAGATATCCAACAAATAAACTCATGCTCAAGGCTTTGGGCTCAACAATCGATCTAAGATAATACAGGATACTGTCTTTTTTGAAAGAAAAGATATGATACTATTTTAGAATTTGGGTATAAGGTCAAATTAACCTAACAAACCCGGCTTGTGAGGTGAAAACTACACAAGTCTTATATGCACTATTTAAGTCATATCACTAAGCAGTGAGGACTAACACCCCCACCCCCCTCATACCTAGCACAATGAAAGTGCTACAGGCTACAATGAAGGCAGCCCAACGTGGCTGCAATTCAGGTGACTTTCCAACAAGTATTTAAACCGGACGTTAGAATTTGGGGCAATCAATACATGGAAAAATAAGCTATAGGCTCATATACTGTATTAGATTTCATCCTAAAAACAATTGAAATTAAGTAAAGTTCTCCAACAGGTATTTACATTGCAACCCCATTAATTAAGGTAACTGATGTGAGACTTTCCAACATTAGACAATTTGTATTAGTTCCAAATCAAGTAGATGTAGAAAGAACTGTGCAAGAAAGCAGCTCGCCAAGATGATAATAAAAAAATCACTTTGATGCCCAACTTACCTTCTTGATCCAGAGCGATGCTCATGAGGGAAAATGCCAGTTGGAAACATCTTACTAAAGCCATGTAACTGGATGTCTGTTGGAAGTAATTCATATCATCATCATGAACTTAGACAAATTAATTAAGTAAATTATTTGGTTTATTTGCTATCGGATTAATAAAAGAAATTATGAAAATATGGTGTTTCTTTTTTTATTTCTAGAAAGATTAAAACAGTCAAAATTCTGGTGGTCACTACCACTAAATACTGTTGATAATTTCACGCTGAATTGAAATACCCACTGATAGCTGTTCTTGACTCAGATAAAGAGGTAATGGTGTGAGAATTTCAGCAAGGCTGATTGATTTATAATAACATAAGATTAATATACAATAGTAAAATGCAAACTGTTATCAATAATTAACAATTAAACAAAAAAATTAACAAAAACATTAGTTCAATGTCTTTAGTGACTTTGTATTGAAACAAATTTAGTCAGGAAGCATGATATTAGTCTCTTTGATAAAAAAAACCATGAACTTTGCATTTTAGTGTTTTACTAATCTCACCTTTGAACGAGTGAACAATAAAGCAATGCCATAAGTGTGAGCCATTGCCTCAAAATTTGCGGGGCCACTGTCCATAGATGTTGCCTGAATCCAGATTGAAGAAAGCAAGAGACTCACTTGGTGACTGCTTAACCGAAAAGAACTTATCTCCTGAAAAATTAATGAGTTTAATCATGAAATAATTGACTAACAATTACAGCAAAATAAAATATTTAATATCCTCTCGACTAGTTTAGAAAAATAAAAACTATAATCTAAACTAACAGAATCACTTCCTACGACAACTAAAATAACTGGAATTAATAAAGTTTGTATAATATATAAACCAAGAGTAGGTGCTGCCAGCAGCATCTCCTTCATGTCTACTATATCAATTAACAACTATGAATAGAATAAACAAAAAAATCCCAATACATGTTTTCCATCAGTTAGAGCACCGCAAAAGACGTGACTATGATATGGATGAACTGCATATTTCCCTATGACACCAACTACTGCCTTTCCTTCCGTAGGTTTCCCATTCATCTGCTCTGCCCCAAAAAGGCTTTCATGCTGAATGGAGAAGCTTTCGTTTAATTCCTTCTCAGACATCTTTGTTTTTGGGTCTAACTGGGGAGGAAATGGTGATGGCATAAGCACTATAGAAAAGATGCTGTGTGCTCCAACTCGTGTTTCATGGTCAGGATGAGCCATTGCCAGGAGCAGTTGATGAAACAAAGCATCAGGGAAAGCCTAAAGGACAAAAAATTACCCAAAAGTTTATACAGATTTACTATGAGGCATATAGAAAAATCCATTTCCAGTCAAAGTAACAAAGAACAATTGCCTTCTTGTGATATGATACATTAGGGATGGACGTGATTAGTTTAGCAGTTTGATAAACAGAAGAGATTGTTGTTCTTGCTATGGTGGTTGTAGTTGAGATATTCTCTAACACCACAGCCATCAAATCAAGAATAGGTCCTACATCTCCAACCTGTGATTCTCAAAGTGTTATAATGGAAGCAATATAAGTTTGAAAGACAAACAAAGTGTTATGCGTACCTTGTTGGAAAGATGTAATATACACATCTCCAAGGCATATTGAAGTTCAGTATTTAACTTAAACTCATCATTTCCTAAGATGGAAGCTTCAGCTGAATTTTGCAGAGACTTCCTTAAATGTTTAATGAGGTCAGATATTGCACCAAGTATTGCAACTGAAGCCTGTTGCTTCACATTTTGTGCAAGTTTTGTTGTCGTGTTAATAATATTAATCTGAAGGATAGGCTGCTTAGTAACATTTTTATGATCCAAGTGCTTGACCAAAATGGACAACAGAAGGCAGGAGTTATCTCCTAGAGTGTAAAAATAGATGATCAATATACTGAAATAGGAGAAAACATACTTTTTTAAGAAAAAACACATCATTAAGAATTGCAGGTTTACCTGAGTCTGCTAAAAGAGACTGTAAGTACATCAAAACATGAACAGCAACTCCTTTGTCAGAAGACCATTGATTTTCAGAATCAAAATAATGAAAAAGTGGTTCAAGAACACGCCGTAAAGTTGTAGCTTCCTTTGCTAATTTGACCATATTATACAAGCAGACCTTTGACCAATATGTAGGATCTTTAGCAGCATCCCTGTAAAATGTGTACCACATAAGGGCTTTGGGACCATGACTGTTGGCTTCATACATAATAAGGGTGGGGAAGAAGAGTAAGGTATGACATACAACACAAAGTCCATCTCACTTCCAGTCACAGCTTTCAGCAACAAAGGGTCCTTCTTCGTGATATCTGTTAAAGGTTCTTCTACTTTAGGAAATCCCTGTACTAGAGGGTCCAGGGACTCTGAAGTCAGCTTATCTTCCAAGGGAGATTTGGAGTAAGATTGGAGACTCACGTAATTCTCCAAAGTCACTGATATAATCTATTTTGAAGCCCAGCCACGCAACCAAGTAAAGGAAAATAGTAGATCGGATAAAAGTTAAATACACAAGTTTGGGTTCAAAGTTAGGAAAAACAAACAAAATAAAAACATAGCAAATCAAACTTCAAAGATAAATGCATCCCTTTTTATACATCTATTTTTGTACCATCGAAAAATAAATTAAAAGAATAAACAATAGGAAGTAGTACTCACTTCATCCAAAACCATGGAAAGATGTGAGTGCTCACCCATGAAACGCACCTAGAAAAAGAAAACGGGGGTAAAACAACAGGTATGAACAAGAGAAGGTACAAATGACCTACAAGGCAACTGGCAAAGGATGCTGTTCTAGAAATGAGGTGAAATGACAAATGACCACTAACTAGTTCAAATTATTTACATCCCACTCTTACAGTCATTTACAAAACCAACCTTCTATCCTTTTACAGCTAAATATACCCATATAACATGATCAGTGATCAGTAAAACTGCTAAGGGCCATACAGTAATCTTCATCCTCTAGTTCACATTTTATTCCCATGCAAAGAGTTTATATCATAAAAGATAGTTATGTGGTTACCCATGTGTATTTGATTGACAAAGAAAAGAGAATCCCTTGATGTTAATTTCGTCAAATTACCATAATGAATAAGCAATTTCCAAAAGACATAACCAATAATAAACCAGAGAAAGGGACAGTACCATATAGGATAGAGCTTGCAGTCCAGCTGATCGTAGCCGCAGAGCTCGTTCATCTTGCCCCACTTCTTGAGCCAATTGACATAGTTTAGGAATAAAACCCTCTAAGTTGAACATGTATGTACCATCTGTCTATTTTCAACTTAAAAAAGTCAGGATACCAAAAACTTATGCCTTTCAAAAATAAATGTGGGAAAAAAAGATTATGCAAGGTCTGAAAAATGCAATATACAGCAAGTAAGTCAGACCATAAATGCAGTTAGCATCAACAAACCCCACAAGGCACGGTGATATTTTGAGCACCAGTGGCATCCATTTTTACTGCCTTCATGAACTTTCACCCAGAGAACAGATACTTAAATTTAAGCAAAGAATTGAAAGGGATAGCAGATATCTCTAACTATGCACCATCAGCAGAAGTCAATCCCACAGGGAAGTTAATTCCATAAGTTTAGAGAGGATAAATAACTAACTACCTGGCAATCTAGAAAATCAAAAAGAATGTTGCAGCCTAAGATCCTGATTTCATCTGTTCGGGTTTGTTCCAGGAGTGTCCGAATAATCTCTAACAAACTACCAGCAAAAAGTGGCCTGCAAAATTAGGAACTGTCATTGGAATACCTTCACATATTTCAAATATAAAGAAGAGGCAATGGCAAGCAACCAATAGATATCAAAGGAACCACTTCTTCATTGTACACGAAAAAATATTGACACAGTTTCATATTACCTCAAATTACAAAACACAAATGTTATATGAGAAAAAAGGTTTGGAATGACATCATGTTTTACATCTTTTTCTTGTTCACACAATTTTTAGTACATTCAGATCACTGCATAAATCATTGTAACTAATAAGAAAAAGGGAAGTTGTGTAGTTTACTTTACACTTCATGATATATTCAGTGAATTAAGATTGATGTAATAGTTAAAAGAGTGGGCCACGCTACCAAGTGCAGTGAGGGCACTGGTTAAAGAGCATTAAATACAGCCTATTAAATGCAGTTAGTAACTAAAAAAAAACACTTAATAACTTTTATATTTCTGGTATACTAATACTTTTTTACCAATAAAAAAAATTGTAGTTTTTGTTTCCATAAATAGTGTCCTTAGGGCACTAGTTAACATCTATCTAAAACAAACTATTTCTCACTGGATTAAGAGCATCTAGAATTTACAAAATCAATGACTGGAACTTTCAATATATAATTTTATGAGCAAATTTTTGTTCTGGCAAACACAACTACTACTCATCAATGTGAATTTGTCAGATTGATGACAATCTATATCCATGTTAACAAACTTACATCTGCTCCTTACATGACGATAAGAATTTTCTGTATATGCACAAGACAACTTTCACTGAGCCAAAGGTTTCATAACGCAAATCCTTGTAACATATTTGCTCCAAGTAATCAGTAATCTGCAAGGATAGAATACCATAAAAACTTGAACGGAAGTCGATGAGATTTTCTCCAGCACTAAAGATAAATTCAGACATAGAATAGTTTCATCATATTATCGTATTAATGAAATCAAAAAGTTTCTCAAGAGAATCATTGTTATCCAAGTTCTTGCCATTGTGTCTTAATTTGTCTTGATTATGTGACGGAGTTAAACTAGAAGTGATAAAGGAAGTAAAAGGCTTTGTAGAATGATATTACCTTGGGAATTCTCAGTGGGTTCTTAGAAGCATAGTCACATAGTTTTCCAATTTTTCTATCATTAAGTTCAGCCTCCTGCCAAACAGTAACTACATGCATATTAGATGATGGGTAGATTGGGCAAAAGGAAAAGGACTACGAGAGGCTCCAAAGCAATCAAAATATTTAAATTCTGATAATATTCACTAGAATAGAAAAAATCTCATGAAGAGTCCTCCTGTTGTACCCCTTTGTTTCAGAAAACTTACAATTTGTATTCAGAGGACACAATAGACTAGTGAGTAAGAGTGGCAATGGTAAACCAACTCAGGGAAATGACAAATTAAATGTAATATCTATGTTAAAAGTTATATAACAATAACAAAGAAGCATGTTTTAAACAATAAATACAGCCTCGAAAAGACTAAAAAAACATCTCATGATATATTCCAAATTGCTATATTAACCATAATTCTTGCTTCAATACCCATGTTTTTTTTTCCTGGATAGCGTACATTGATGAGTTGCAAACATAAATGGATTGAATACTGTTGGTTTTCACAATGAATGTTGAAGCAACCAATGAGTGTTTAATATTTAACGACACATCAACTGCTGCTGCGCAAGGGGAGAGAAAGGATAACTATACTGAGTCATTAACTCACATCTAATCTAAGTAACAACTAACAAGTAAATCTGACATCTGAAATGAAATGGCATAACATGAGCTGAAAATGTCACCTGATTGCGTGGGAAAATATCAGCTAGCAACTTCTTGTATCGTTTCACCGGTTGTCTAGAGCTTGCCCGCAGAGAAGGACAGACGCAACAGAGGTTGCCACAGACGGGCACAACCCGCCTGGACATAACCCCCATTCTCCTATCGACCCAGAAGAATATCCTCAATATCAATCAATCCACCCCGAAAACTGCCTCCACAATTCACATTCCAGTAACAACAATGTAAATTAAGTGGTGTACATCAAGGCCCCTTACTACAACTTAACTAAAACTCAGTCAAATCCAGAGCTCAAAGGGGTTTAATTTAACATATTCAGGCAAAACAAAAAGTGAAATCAAACAACAGATGGAAAGTAGAAGCCAAGCTATAGCCTACATAGACTTACCCAAAACTCAAACAGTGGCTGAATCAAGGGTCTCCGCCTCTCTAGTCACGATCTGGATTGGACTCCAACACAAAATTTCAGAAATGACTCAAATGAAGGCTTGGAAAACTGTGGCAAGAGAGTCTCTAAGATTCAATTGAACATCTAAGTTGAAGAAATTAAACAAGGGAATAACAAAGTAAAATAAAGAAATAAACAAAAGTATTGTCGTTCGTCTTCTAAGAATAATGGGAATGGGGACAGAGGGTGGAACACTGCACCGACATTTTCGCTGTTTTGAGTTGGAAAACATTAATGTTACAGGAAAACAACGCTTTCATTACAGCATCAACATGTACTTGGCTACTGTTGAGTTAAAGATGAAATGAATTGCTAACAAAATATTAATTATTAATTAATGTAGAATGGGAGGGGAACGTCACCATTGGTGTGGTTCGGAAGTTGACTGCACGATGACGAGTCTGTTGCGCTTCATGATCATCTTTTACGCGTAAATCATTCAACGCCGTCACATCATGCTTAACCTGTCGCCAATTTAACACCTCTTCTCATAAACACCTATTATATAGTACATTTACAAGAGTAAGAGTCCGTGTAAAAAGAAAAACACACAAATGTATATATAAAACAAATCAGTGACATAATCTTTCTATATATTTAAAACAAAAAATTACTTAAATAAATTTTTTATATCAAGAATTTGTATTTTCATAATCAAATTATGTATATTAACCATAAGCAAGTTAATTAAATAAATAAACTTTGTTTAAAAAATATATATGTTATTTATACCAGTAATTTATTCCGTAAAAAAACTGATGCCAAAGCATAAAATTAACTCATACATTTTTAAAAAATCTATTAAAAAATCTTCAAATTCACGTTATAAAGTTAACTTATACATAAAAATAGTAAGTTAAGTTATTAATCATTATCGAATATGCATATAATAAGCATCAACAACATGATATATAAAAAATTATAGTTAAATGTTTTGTTGATAGAAAAACATGTTAAAATACATATTTGATCACTTTGTGTTTACTTTATAAAAAAAATGTGTTTATAATTCTTATCAAATAGAAAAGTATTGATTAACACATAGAAAAAAGTGTAGTATAATTCTGATATTCTTGTTTAATTACAAAATATTAAATACATTAATTGTATTTAAAAGAAAAAAGTGTTTTCTTTTTTCTGCGTATTTAATAATTCAATTATATCTATTCAGTGGGCCGAGTAAAATTAATAAAACTAAATTTTTAAATCCCATAAATTTAGTATATTTTTTATTGTGGTTCCCTAAATAAAAAAATGTTTTATTTATTTAAAGTTAAAAAAGAAATTAATTTATAATTTTTGTAATATATATATATATATATATAATTTTAGTCTCTAAACATTTAATTTAAAGAAATTAAATAATATTTTATTAAATATTTTTAACTCTTGAATTTAATTGTATTTTAATAATTTTTAGTAGAATATTATTTAATTTAAGAGAATAAAATAAAATTTAGTATCTTTTTAAGATAAAAACACAATTAAATAAATAAAAAAAAATACATGCATGAGATTTTCGTATAAATTTTAATATGATATATGAAACACGAGTAAGTTATATATTTTTTTAAAATTCCATATTTTGAATATATGTACTAGGTTTTTGTATTTTTCAAAATTTTAAAAAAATATAAATTTCGTAAAAAAAAAACTAAAATCAGTTATATTTTAAAATTGAGAAACTGAATTAATCCATATAAATCTGTGGAATGTTTTACTGAAAATATAAGAATTAAAAATATAATTTTCTAAATTTGTCAAGTAAATTTGATGATAATTAAAAACAAGTTTTTAATTATTTGTGTATATAATTTATACTCGCATAAATACGTAAAAAAAATGAAGAAATAATATTAATTAATTATTCAATTGGACGGAAGTAATAATGAATATTTTTTTTGTCATTTCCGACATAAGAATGAAAATGTTTAAACTTTACCTATCTATTATACGAGGCAAAATGAATCACACATTTTTTAACTTAAATATTGAAAATTTTTAAAAATGTTAAATTTTGGTTGTTTTTATTATACAACAAAATGTTTTATATGAATGATTGCACCCACCGAAAAAAATTGAACGGTCCGAAATTGGATTGGATTTTGAAAAAGGAAGGTTTCTCTTTTCTTTTCATTCTTTTATCTTTGTTGACTTAATCTTACATTTTAGCTTGTAAACCACCTTCTCCCCTGCCTATCATGTTAACTTTGCTTGCTTCCTAAAAGTTTAAGAATTTTATATTTGTCAATATGCTAAAACAAAGTTATTATTTTGTTATTCATTCTCTTTATGTCAAAGGTTGTTCATCGTCCTTCAAATAGTGATTTTTATTTTTTGATACTACTCAATTATGTTGAATTATTCTTTCAATATCGTATATTACTCAAACTTTATCCATTTTCCATTATTTGTAAAAAAATATATACATAAGAAAAGGTTTAACATGGTCTTATCAAAGACTGCATAATCAAAATTTGTTATACTATTATTTCTAGTGGAATTTCGATCGATTCCGATTCTTAAGGTGTTTTGATTCTAATCAAAATTTAATCACGTAAGTTCTTTTTTACTTAGGCTAGCAAATTGATTTTCAATTAAAATGCATATGAGAATCGAAATTTACATAGTATCGAAAATGCTGTTTTTGGTATTTTATGTTTAGAGTGTTCAAAGTAAACAAAGCAATAGAAATGTCGAATCGAAAAGCAAAACCGAAAATTGAATTGTCAAGAGGTAAAATACAGAAACCTCAAATTTGCATTAAATGACAAGAAATTGGAGTAACGAGAATGTAAATGACAGGAAATCGAGATTCGAGAAAATATAACTGCGAGGAAATCGAAATACGCGAAATGTAAATAGCAAGCAATCGAGATTACGAAATGTAAATTGTAACATCCTAATTCTTAGTACCTTTAAAAATTTTGTCAAAATTTTAATAATTAAATTATTAGGAATTGGGAAAAGTGACTATAGAGTTTTATGTTTGTTAGATTATTTGTGATTTTTCGGAATTTTTTTTTAAAATAAAAAAAATAATATTAAATAAAATAATAATATATCTTAAAATTTAGATTTTGACTTTGAAACAGACACTCACTCTGCAACTTCCCGTGACTTCTTCCTTTCTCTCATTTCTCGCTTTCTCTCAAACCTTCCTCACTTTGAAGTTTGATTTTGAGGGAGAAATATTGATTTTCTTGAGAAACTCCAAGAGGTAAGTTGGTTTATCTCAATCTCCTCTACATTTCTACCGTTTTATTTTTCAAAACGGTGCATTTTCAATTTTTTTCCTCACTTGGTTAAGCTTGAATGGGAGTAAAAAGAGTGTTATTGTAGGTTTTACACCTAAGACACTAGAATAATACTTAGAATTGAGGATTAGAAGTGATTAAGCTAAAAACCTTAAGTACCCTAATTCGTAAGTCACTGTTCATTAAATTTTGGGACGTTTGTGAACAGAATTAGGAATTAGTATCTTCATAAAAGTTGTAGCCCTTTAAGTTATAGAAATTTAGAAACTTGTTTCACATCAAACGGATATTTGTAGCTCAAGTTATGTTCATTTTACTGTCAAGTGCTATAGCTGTGAAGTTAAGAGGTTGCCCTGTTTCAACAGTCTCGGTTTTTGAATTACTGGGATTGATACGTGTGAAATTAGGACTTGATTTCTTCATAAAAGTTGTAGGAAATTATATTTCCGAAATTTAGAAATTTATTTCATGTCAATACCTTATGTATAGCATGAGTTATAGTCAAATTACCAAGGCATGTTCAGAGTGTTATTGTAGTTGAGCCATGTTGGAAACAACCACTGTAAACTGAAAAACTGCATTTATTCTACAAGGTATTTGAATTTATTTCCTTCATCAATATTGTAGGTAATTAAGTTATTGAAATTTTGGCTCTTACCTCATGCCAAAACAGTTTATATAACTCTAGAAAATTCTGAAATACTGAACCTTGTCCATATTTGTTATTAGGATTCTTCCTACTCTAAGTGTATTACTTCCATTACTCTCTTCTACTTGTATTAATTTCATTAGCATCAATTTAGGCCCTAGAAATGATTTTATAACTCAAAGAACCATAGTCTTGAATTTTAGAATTTTAGGCTATGAAGGAGGTGAGATTTTAGAGGTCTAATATGGTTGGAATTAAGGATTTAATTGGGGTATTTAATTGACATGTAGGAGACTACTTAGAGGTGCAAAAAGGAGACCCAAAGACTTGATAAATTATTTGATCAAGAGTTACTCTTCACCAAGTTACAACATAAGGTAAGGGGTAGGATAACTTTTATAATTCATTTTTGCTTGAAATAGCATTGAGAAGAAGTCCCTTACTTCTAAGTTAATTAGAAATTTATTTGGAATTATTTGAATGTCATTTCTATTTTTGATGAATTTTTAAAGTTTTAAGATTATGTGAAATTTATGGCTTCTAAATGGAGCAACTTGAGTGTATGGAACCTTGTATAATTATAAGGCATCCATGAATGTTGTTTGAATCGATTGCTTAATCATTAGTAATTTTATATGATTTATTGATGAATTTAGATTGAGAATTAGCCTATTTTTATGTTTAGTATTCTGATAATTGCTTTAAATTGATTATTGAGATATATTGTATGTATGTTATGAAGCATGATAAGTAGAAAATTATTGTGCAATGTTTTTGTTAAGATGGATTAGCATATAGAATTGCATTGTATAATTTGGTGGAATTGAGGAAAGGTGTGAGAAATGAACTATGTGAGAAAGAAAACTATTTTTTTTATATATTAAATTGAATTTGATAATTTAATTATGAAGTGAATTTTTATATTTTTATTTAATTAATAAATATTTTTCAAAAGTATTGGAATAATTTTGATCTACGAGAAAACAAGTAATTGTAAGTGAAAATGAATTTTTAATAATTTTGAGGAAATTATTTGCAATTATTATTATTATTTAAGAAAAATAAATTAAAATTGAGAAAATTATGATTTTGAGTGATGATGAATATGATGAGGTGGAAGGATGGTTTGGTGAAAAGTAGAAGTGTTCTGAGTCGTTTTTGGTTATTTTACAGGTGTTAAAAATTTTGGGAATGTCCGATTTACGGGGAAACTCGTCGATTTTTCTTAAGAAATAACCTAGTATTATTTTGAAGAAGTTAAGATGTGATTTAAGTATAATGAGGTGAAACAAATTTGAAAAAGTGTGAAGAAGTTATGATAAGTCATGCATCATGTTCATGAGTCGGAGATTGAGTGTATGAGGAGGATATGGAAAATCGTGGTCGGTTCCATGCTAACCTCGAGGATGATTGAGTGTGATCGAGCTCATATGTGGCTCGAGGCTCGCTACCTAAGCTGTGAGACTCTTACTACCAAGCTTGATTATCCTGACTAAAGCCCCAGGGTTTCTCATG